ATATTGTGTGTGTGTGTGTTAAATTGCTCCAAATAAGATGCTTTAAACTGGACTTTTTGCTTTTACTAATTTTCATGTTTACACAAAAAAATAATATTTTCTTTTTGGTTTCCCATCCGGTGTCCGGTACCCATATTGGGGCACGACTAAATCCGAATTCGCGCCGGAAAGTCCCACATTGGGGGTAAAGCGCTCCCTAACAAAGGCGACTCCATACCCAGGGGCTCGAACTCGAGACCTCTGGTTAAGGATGAAGGAGTACTTACCACTCCACCACAACCCTAGTTGGTCACAGGAAAATAATTTTGATAGATGAGGAAGTTGTACGTAATTGGTAGAAACAACAGTAAGGACATTGGGAAAAGAGACATACATTAAATTCTCTATCAATGAAAAAAATAACTGTTTATTATAAGTAAAACCATGGAGAAAATGGGATGATAAGATTGAAAAAAATACTAACATGAGTTGTAATCAGCGACACAAACATCCTGGAGTGGATCTGGATCAGACGCAGAAGCTCTGTTAACAGTAATAATTAAAATGGTGATGGCTACCTTGAAAAGGATCATGAAAGCCATGGATAGGATTGGAGGAAGTTAGAGAAGGAGAGAAAATGGTAGCTTTATTTATAATTAAGGGGCGTCATATATAGGAGTTTCTCTTGATCATTATTGGTCTAGCCATGGCTCTACAAGTAATTCTGAACGTAATCTTTCACTTTAACGATTCCAGCACGGAAAGAATGATAGTAACAAAATTTTGCAAATCATATCTCAAATCTCTGATGTGTGCGAGCCTAGTCCCCTTTAAAGTAATATAATTGCATTGCACCATGGCAATTATATTACTTCCATGTCTAAATCAAATTAATGTAATCATCTAGAGGACCACCTTCTCCCATAATTTATTACCTAGTAAAATGAAAAATAAAAATGTTATAAAATGAAATTGATGAAAAAGGTATAGAGTTTCCACTCACAAGACAAATTCCTTCACTAGCAACAGGGTATACAAAGAAAACCGATAAACCGCACCAAACCGATAATCCGAATCAAATTGAAAAACAAAAAAGTTCGATTGTGGTTTAGTTTGTTATTGGAAAAAAAACCCGACCATAATTTGTTTAGTTTGGTTTTAACTTAAAATTGTCAAAACGAAACCAAACCAACCCGATAGTACATCTATACAATTTTTAATTATTTTTATACATATAAATATTTATTGAAAAGTAATTAATATTTTTTTTAATTTTTTTTTTTTTTACAGTTTTTTAACATATTATTTCAAGTTTGGACTTAACATTCTTGAATGATAAGCAAAGTTTATAGCCCATAAATGTAGTAACTCAAACAAAGTTCAAATCAATAATAATGCTAACTAAAGAAATTCAATTCCTAGTGTTGATAGTGTTGGATATTTATTTTTGAGTTTTACATTGTTTTATAATAAAAATGCATAACTTAGTTTATCTTTCTCTTTGGTGCTTAGTTATGTAACTAATACTTATTATTAACTATACTTATTTTAGCATGATCTATATAGTATTTTTAGGTTAAGTTTATCATGGCTTATTATATAGCAATATTTGCTTTATGCAATTTTATTATCTTTGTTATTGATATTTTTAGTATAATGTTACGATTTATCTCATATATTTTGTTATTTTCTTGGAAAATACATTATATAGTTGTATCTTATTAGGACTAAAGAAATATTTGAAGCACAAGTTACATATTTTTTGCTATAAAGATTATATCGGAAAAACCCCGAAAAACCGAAATTGAAAAACCCGACTTTGTTGGTTTGGTTTATAAATTTAAAAACCCGACACCATTAGTTTGATTTGGTAATTAAAAAATCCAAACCAACCCAACCAATGTACATCCCTAAGTAGCAGTATTTTGGAAAATTTTATTTTGTGTCTCACAGTTTTGTGGACCCAGATTTTTGTGGACCCAGAAGTGTAAGATTGGGGTCCACAAATTTGTAAGACAAAAAGGAGCCTCACACAACTAATGTCAGTTGTGTGAAACACACAATAAAACTACTCGCAGTGTTTCATTTACTGCAAATAAAGTTACTGTAGTCATTCCTTTCTCCAGAAAGGAAATAAAAAGCATATGAAATGTTGAGATTGCTGTAAAACTAGCAGTGTTCCATTGAATACAAACTAATGTTAAATCACTGTACTCATTCCTTTATCCAGGTAATATTCACGTCTGGTAAACTAATTGGTGTAGAAGCTGCGTATTCAATAAAATAAAACCTTTTGATATTAACATCAATTTCCTATTAAGTAGTAAGCTCAAAATTGATGCTTTTTCCAAATGTTTGGAGAAAGCGGAACTATGTAATCTCAAGTTGCAAATGCATCAAAATTTAACACTCTCTCTGATGTAAGATATATATCCAATCAGACGCTTAACAAGAAACAAGCACCTTCCTGCGACGTTAGAACTCTTTGTGAATTTAAGATAATTGCCAGTGACTTTTGTTAGGATCAAAATAATCAGGTATCATGCGGAAACTAGTAAAGCAACACTTGAACAATGATAAATCAAACAACAGAAGAGAAATATACCAAAAGAGACACAAACATTTAACGTGGTTCGGTCAATTGACCCACGTCTACGGCGGATATGAGCAATCCACTATATAAAAGAGAGTACAAAATATCGAGAGAACAACCTCACGAAGAGGACACAAGTGACACACTAACACTTGTCCCGTAAAGTTCTCCCCTTAAACACGACTCTCAAACCCCATATGACTACATTGTGGATGCTACTGAATGGGAAGGAAGGATCCTCAATTTATAGAAGTCCAAACATTTTCCTACAAGAAAAGGAACGGGTCAAATATGGAAGATTTATGATTTTCTTCTACAAGAAGGAAAACCTAATTATGATAAATATGTTACCCTTTCCTTCAATTGATAGTAAAATCAAATATGGTAAGAAAATTAGGACAACACTTAACAACTTTTGTGGTCTGTGTTGACTGGATGGTTACCGTATTATTATTTGGAAAGAAATGTAGCGTAACGTTGAGTTTTTAAAATAGTCACAGTTGATCCCGCTTAGTGGAAGCTTAGTGTCCCTCCTCCCTCCCTATTGTAATATGGCATGTGCCATGCATGTGACAGGGTCAATTAGTTAGTTAGGCTGTTAGGATTAGTTGAAGTTGTTAATGTAAGTTAAGGGTAGTTTAGTCATTTTACATTCATTAATCTTCTTCTACTTCAGTTCTTGTGTATAACAATATAGAAGAGCAATAGAACAGTGGCTTGCTCATTCTCTGAATTCACCGACTCTCTCTCAAAATACTTCTAGAACATTCCTCCATTGAAGCCCTTGATTGATCCTTACATTTTATCATGGTATCAGAGCAGCGTACCTGGATTACATCGCGCTAGATCTCTGATTTCTTCTCTCACATTCGATCCCTAATTAGTCGAATTGTTGAAGCTCATCAAAAATTGAGCAATGTCGGAGACTGATTCGTCAATGTCGGAAATAGCGGCAATGATCACAATCATTCGCTGTATATTGGACCTTCTGATACTCCTATCTTAGTCGTGGTACCTGTGAAGCTCACAGGCTCGGAGAACTACGGGCTATGGAGTAGATCGATGAGAATTGCACTTTTGGGGAGGAAGAAATTAGGTTTTGTCACTAGTAGTTGCAGCAGGAGTGCGTATGAAGGAGAACTATTAGCACAATGGGAGACTTGCAATGCTATTGCTCTCTCATGGATTATGAACAATGTGGCACCAGAAATTCTAGGTGGAGTCGTGTATGCGTCTGATGCACACCACGTGTGGGAAGATTTGTGAGAAAGGTTCAATAAGGTAAATCGTGTTAGGAATTTTCAATTACATCGTGAAATTGCCACATTACCTTAAGGAACTAGCTCTGTTTCAGTGTATTTTTCGAAATTAAAGGAGTTATGGCATGAATATGATGTTTTGGTTCTATTTCCTAATTGGTGTGATAAATCGAAAGATCATGCAGAAAATTTGCATCAACAAAGAGTTATGCAATTCTTGTCTTGTTTAAATGAGTCATATGATCAAGCTAGAAGGCAAATTATTCCTAATGAAAACAAATGCACCTAGCCTAAATTAAGCTTATGCTATGATTTTTCAAGATGAAAGTCAACAGAAGAGAACCTGCTAAACCTGATGGAATAATCCTAATGCTGGCAAGCATGTTGGTAATGGTGTTGGTAATAGCAAACCAGGTGGTTGGAGAAGAGAACCTATGGCTATGATCAACAATACAGATGTAAGTACATCTTCTATGCAGGATATGGGAGATAGTTCATCTGGAGCTGCTGAGCACAAGGGAATCATTACTTCACCAATGACCAATACAATCAAATTTTGAGCCTCTTGAACAAGGAATCTCGAGAGCACCAGTCAAATATGGCAGGAAAGGTGAGGTTAAGTGTTTGATGAGCAACTTTACACAGAAATCACATGAGAAGGAATGAGTTGTAGATTCAGGTGCTACCCATCACATTATTTCTGATTTAGAATTACTATCAAATATTAACTGTACAAGGAAAACTGATAGAGATAGGGTGCATCTCCCTACTGGAGAACAGGCTGATATTACTCACATTGGTAGGGCAGCCTTATTAGATAAGAGAAAGATTAAAGATGTGCTTTATGTTCCCAACTTCAAGTTTAATTTGCTCTCAGTAGCAAAGCTAACAAAGGAGCTGAAATGTAATGCCAATTTCTTTCCTGGTTTTTGTGTTGTTTCATGATCTTTGGAATGTCAAGGTGAAAGGATTGGTAAAGAGAGAGGAGGCTTATATGTGCTTAGAGGACTGGCTAACATAATAAAGGCACTTAATGCTATAGGCAAGGCAATCAAAGATTCATGTGAAATACGGCACAACAGGCTAGGTCACCCATCCTCATCAGTAATGAAACATGTATTATGTTTACATAATAAGGAAATAAGATGTCACAGGAAAATTGTTTAGTATGTCCACTAGCAAAGCACTAGATTGAGGTTTCCATTGAGTGATCCAGAGCAAAAGTAGTATTTCATCTTGTACATATGAACCTATGGTGACCCTATAAAATTGCTACATTTGATAAGAAACAATATTTCTTAACAATTGTAGATGATTACTCTAGATATACATGGGTGTTCTTTTTGCAGTTAAAATCTGAAGCAGTAGTGGAAATAAAACAGTTCATTACCATGGTTCAAAATCAGTATGGTATTGTGATTAAGATGATAAGATCAGATAATGGATCTGAATTCTTTAATGCACAATGTTCAGAGCTGTTAACAGGTCTTGGTATAATTCACCAAAGCAGCCGCCCTTATACTCCACAGCAGAATGGCATAGTTGAGAGAAGGCACATATATATACTTGATACTGCTAGGGCTTTGAAGTTTCAGGGGGCAATTCCAATTAGATACTGGGAAATGTGCGTTAAAACAGCAGTATACCAAATTAATAGGTTTCCATCAAGTGTTCTAGGGGGCAAAACTCCATTTGAATTGTTATATCACAACAAGGCTAATATTGCTCATGTGATAACCCAAAAGGTCATCTCGTATTCTAGAACCAAAATCGGGGTTTCGAGGCTTTCAAGACCTTATTTTCTTTCTCCTCGATTTGCCTGCGCAATCCGGGCGCATCTCCGGAAAAGCCTTTATGTGAAAATTTGAGAAAATATTAAGTTTTGCCTTTAAAATTGATTTAAGTTGACTTCGATCAATATTTTGAGTAAACAGACCCGGACCGTGCTTTAATGGTCCCGGAGGATCCGTAGTAAAATATGGAACGTGGGCGTATGCACGGAATTGAATTCCGAGGTCCCTAGCCCGAGAAATAAATTTTTGAAGAAAATTGTTAAACTGAAAATATCACTACAAGAAAAGCGCTATTAGGGACGAGAAAAATGGTCCCTAAAAGTCTGTTTCTGGTCTCTAAATCTCAATAGCGACGGGAAAAATCTGGTCGCCACCCGTCGCTATAGGCTCCGACGCTAAAGGTCAATAGGGACCAGATTTTTCCACTGGTCCTTAAAACTTATTAGCGACCGCTTAAGCACTGGTCCCTAAAACCCTTTTGCGACCATGTTTTTGGTCCTTAAATACATTTTACCGATAAGTTTGAGTAGTCCTCAAAAGTCATTTACAACCAGAAATCTGGTCCTTGGCCACAAAATGTTGCACCTAAATAATACATGCTCTTTTCTTGTCACGTTTTTCGAACATATCATTACAACTTTTAGCATAGACAATCAAATTCATATAAACAAAATTATCAATCGAATTAAATAGAGGTTCGGATTAATATCCCATAAGAAATATTATTTACAAAAATATATAGTCACGATACCATATACACAACTCATTAGCCCAAGAAGCTAACAGTACCCCTAAATGTTTCGCCAAACAATATTAGCAAAACATTAACTAACTTGTCAACTTTTTCAAAGCATTCAAATTTGCATCTTCACTTGTAAACGGAAGTCTCCAAATCCTGTAAAATGTACAAAGTAAAATGTATTTAGAAAACAAAAATGCGCACAACCTCAGCTCAATAGATATTTTACAGCCTGGAAAAGAGAATGTTTATCAATGGTCATTCAGTAGGAAAAGGATAACTCTCTTTTGTAAGGAGAAAAAAAAAAGAAAACTTTGATTTCTAATACATCATCATCGGAAATAAGTAAAACAGAAAGGGAAAAGGATGAGAATTCAAGCATGTTGACTAAAATGTACTGGAACCAATACCCAACATAGATATACACAAATGATATATGAATAGATAGAATATAAGCAAAAAGGAAGGGGAATTTTTCGAACAATTGAATTATGAAGTAACTTACCTGCAAGGCAAGCAAAATTTTATGTTTCCTCGTGTTTATCTAAAAGGACAGTAAATATGTTTCCAGCGAGTGCTTAAGTAACACCTCCGGGTACTTCATTGCCTCGACAAAGAGAATCTGCAATTTAAAGTTTTCTTAATTGAGAAAATTTTGTTCAATCATAAGGCTTGTGCTTTTTCGTCCAACTTAAAGATACAATAGTAGGCAACGAACTAAAAACTACTCCAATATCGTTACTGCAAACTTGCAATTATTATTCCAAAGAGAAAACTAGTAAAAACAGAGAACAATCAAAAAAAGCTCTAGCATGTCATTACCCATTAGTTTCTATCAACAAAAACTTTTATAGATTTCAATAAATAACTATAGAGATTGTAATTCCTTAATAATTGCCCTACAACATATCTGGTAGGTTGTCCCTAATAATGTGATCTTTTTTCTCTTCTTTCACTATTGGCAAGAGATTTCATAAATGAACATATAGTATCATCCATCGGACAAGCAAGATCAAAATTAATGAGCATGTCATAGTAATTCTAGGAATAATCAGCAACAATAACAAAATATTCTTTCTCAAGTGGGGGTCAACTTATCATTAGACAGACAGGAACAATTTTGGTACTAAACGACCCAAAATGAACTGTTAGATTGCTAAACTATCAGTACAATAAGATCATTAAATATAGATTACCAACAATAAACAAGTAAAATAACACATGAAGAACTATAAGGTTATTGACCCATCGAAAGAAATTCGGTTTATAATTACTCATAAGCAATTTACTAAACCATCGACAATTTTTTAAAAGGGCAATCAAAAAACCCCCACACACATATCATTGGAATCTAGAAAATGATAGATTATTTCATCAAGATATACACTCCGCTAGCAATACAAAAGACTCCGCCTTTGTACATTCCGCTAGCACTACCAAGAATTTACCATTTTTCTAAAAGTAGTGCAATTGTAAGTCAATGATAAAGGAAGAGAACAAAAATTAGAATAAAATATATATTCCAGATTTTCCTCTCATTGGAGTCATTAGTTCATCGAATGACTGAAGTATCACAATCATTATCTTAAAGAAATAACTCTTTCCCTAGCCTCAAAATCCATTCTTCAACACCTCCTAGAGTTAAAAAATAAATCATTTGCAACATGTGCATGACTTCTAAGTTCTTCCGCTTTGATGATCCCAACATCCGTTATCTTTTTCTTCTTAATATATTTGAATTGTTCAATGTACTTTCTTATAAGACATTATCAACTGAAAGTAGTACTAGAGTCTCATAGTGAACATTAAACTTGCATTATAGATGTATTTGGTATTTTATTATTGGGCTATTACTTATTGTACTCTCACCTTATTTGCCTAATGTAGCAACTGCTTAAGGTGTAATGTCAGTTTTCTAGCTCAAATTTTGTTATATATTGAACTTGTCTAAATGTGATGTATTTATAATGTCATAATGTAGTATTTAACTATTTCTGGTGTCTATCACAGTTGATGCTGCCTCTACAATATTAATTATGCTGCTAGAAGTTGTAGTACAATTATAGTTGTTCATAACTTTTAAAAGATGTTATAATTCTTATTCAAATATGCGTTACTGAAAATCAAAACATATATTGCAAAAAATATCCACATAAAAAAGTTTTTTAGAGTGTTATAGTAGTTGGGATGAAAGATTGATAGTTCTAAGGCTCCAAAACGCATTCAGCCAATTAGTCAAACAGATGGCGTGCAATTATAAGGATATCTATGAAATTGAAATCTGGATTAGCCATTTCTAAAAAAATTAGGAAAAAATAATCACAACAATCTTACACTAATTTAGCAGTACCATTATAGGTGAATCTTCACAAATTAAGTATCACAACAAGAGCAAGAAGAACACACATAGTTCGAAATTAAACCAAGGACGCACCTGAAGCTATCTTTGAATATATGAATCTACATGCTTCCTGACAATGGCGACAGAGTAGGCAAGAAGGATTCCGGCAAGTTCTAGGCACACGGTCAAGTGTACACGCTGGAGATCATGATAGGTGAGAAAATCATATCCAAAAAATATAAAAACTAAAGCTAGTTGTTATACTCAAAGGATGCCAGAATTATTACCCTAGGTCCAACAACGTTGAAGGGAACAAGTATCGAGAGTTAATTTGTCGAAAATTGGTTTTGGCAAACAACGGAGATGAAGATTCAGACTTGAGAAAACGAGAAAGGGACAACGATTTTAGATAAAGAGAATAGATGATAGCTCCGCTGCCAAAAGGCCCAATGGTGTTTGCTCTCACTTAGACTTTTCTCAGATAAAATTAGGTTTAAGGATTTTGAGAGGCAGAGAGTTATGTTTTAGAGAGAATGCTTTTTTAGATTTTTATTTTATTTCTCCATTATTTTTTGAAGTCAAAATTTATTTAGCACTTATACCCGCTTGATTTAGATAATTAGGGACCAGTTATTGATGATTATACGGACCATATTTTGTCCCTTTGTCAAACAAAAACATAAATTCAAAAATTAGGGACCAAAAGAAAATCTGGACCTTATAAATATGCTTTTAAGGACCAGATTTTTGACTTGTCGCTAATTGTTGGTCATAGATAAGCCTTTTTCTTGTAGTGTATTATGGTTTTTAGAAATTGAATAATGTTTGAACTTGTTGGTATCGGGTCCGTATTTTGGTTCCGGAGCCCGGTACAGGTCCATTATAATATTTATACCTTATCTGTGAAATTTGGTGAGAAATGGGACTGATTTGACGTGATTCGAACGTCCGGTTGTGAAAATAGGAATTTCAAGTGTTCTTAAGAATTTTATGCGCTTTGATGTTAAATCCGTAGTTTTAGATGTTATTTTGGCGATTTGATTGCACGAGCAAGTCCGTATGATATTTTTAGACTTGTGTGCATATTGGGTTCGGAGCTCGGAGGGCTCGAGTGAGTTTCGGATAGGCTACGAGATGTTTTAAACTTAGAAATTTCTGCTGTTTTGCCGTTGCAAGCGCACATGTATTTTGTGCTTCGCGATCGCGAAGAGTAAATTTGTCTGAGGGAGCAATCTTTCTACGCGAACGCGAGGCGCTGGTCGCGAACGCGAAGCATTGGGGGCATTACCCTTCGCGAACGCGACCAGGCTATCGCGAACGTGAAGCATGGTAACTGGGGGAGGGGAAAGATACGCTATGCGAACGCGGCAAGTGGCTCGCGAACGCGAAGGTTGGGGGGGATATACCTTCGCGATGCGTAAGGTGTCTGGCGAACGCGAAGGTTACTAGGACCGCAGCTTCTTGAACGCGACAGACCTCTCGCGAACGCGAATAAGGTCTATCCAATGTTTTAAAATCAGAACCAAGACAGGATTAGACCAAAATTTCATATTTTCTTCCATAGAACTCGACCTTGGGCGATTTTTGAAGTGGGAATTCAACACCAAATCATATGTTCGTGTTCTAAAACTCATTCCTTTCAATTTCCATCAACACCCATTAGATTTCTAGGCCTAAATCTTATTCTTTAAGAGTAGAAATTAGGGATTTTGGGATAATTGGGAATTTTAAAAATTTGGGAGATTAGACCTCGATTTGGGGTCGGATTCCGAAACTAATTATATATTTGGGCTCGTGGGTGAACGGGTTTTGGTCCGAACCTCGAGTTTTGACCAAGCGGGCCCGGGGTCGATTTTTGACTTTTTGGGAAATTGTTGGGGAACTTGTATTTATGCATTGGAAATGATTTATTTAGCGATAACTGATATTATTAAGTTAATTATGATTAGATACGAGCGGATTGGAAGTGAAAAATAAGGGAAAACGGTATTTGAGGCTTGAGTTCGGTCGTGGAATCGAGGTAAGTATTGTAGCTAACCTTAGCTTGAGGGATTAGGTATTGTTGCTTTATTTGCTACGTGTTTGGTTGTTGAGTACGGCGTATAGGCGTGGTGACGAGCATCTATTCGTTGTTGTCGGGTCATAGCATGTGAGTGAGTCTTGTGCTTGTGACTGTTGTAATTCTTTATACGTACTGTTCAGGCTTAAACTAATTATTCTTCATGTTAAACAAGTCTTATTATGTTTTCTTGATATTGGATGTTGGCTGAGTATTGACTCAAGTTGAGATTTATATTGTGAAGTTAAATGTTGAAACGGGGTTGGTTATTGATGATTCCCTTGCTGGGTTGTTATTGTTTCTGTTGTTTGGGTGAGGAAGAGTGTAAAGCACGAAGGGTGATGCCGTGCAAGATATTATGAATGAGTGTTAATGCATAAAGGGTGATGCCGTGCCTTATTTTGATATTGATAATGCACGAAGGGTGATGTCGTGTTATGAGAGAGTTAATGCACGAAGGGTGATGCCGTGCCGTTTCTATTGTTTCTTATGGTGAGGACGAGAGTAAAAGCACGAAGGGTGATGCCGTGCCATTCTTATCTGTTTTATATGGTGAGGTTGAGAGTAAAAGCACGAAAGGTGATGCCGTGCATTTTTCCGTTATTGTATTTACTTGTTGTTATTGGTTCAAGGTGTACTAGTTGTTCAAATTCTCTATTATTGTGGTTCTTGTTGTTGCAATCCCCTCAGCATGTTTTCCCCTTCCCATTATTTTTTGTTAAATTTCCGTCATTGTTATTTCCTCGTATATTATTTAACTGCACAGGTTCATGTTATTTGTCGTGTGCTAGCCTCATCACTACTTTGCCGAGGCACTTACCAGTACATGGGTTCGGTGTACTGATACTGCACTCTACACTTTCTGTGTAGATTGCGGTGCCGGACCTCGTTGATTAGAGTTAGGCTGCTGCCTTCAGTCCATCAGGAGACCCAACGTAGATCTGCCAGCGTTCGTAGACCCTGGAGTCCCCTTCCCTCTATCTTAGTTTATCTTGTTTTCCTTCATTTCGAGAACAAATGTATTTTCTTTAAACCAGTATTTGTAGAAACTCTTAGAAGTTCGTGGATTGTGACACCAGATCTTTGGATAGTCGTGTAATAGTGTTTTAAACTGTTATAGAACTTTCGTACTTCTTATTGGTTTAGTTTAAATTATTGTTAATTACTGTTTTGGTAGTGATTGGTGTGATAGAACTATATCTGTTGGCTTGCCTAGCATTCTAATAGTTAGGTGCCATCACGATCCCGACGGTGGAAAATCCGAGTCGTGACAGCTCACTTGAGAGTTATAGGCTATTTGTGTTATGCAACAAATTTGGTCAAGGCAGAGAAGTTTGCAGAAAGAGCCAAAACAACCATTCTCATGGGATATTCAGAAACACAAAAGGGTTATGTCTTGCTTGATTTATCCACAAAGCAATTCTTCACAAGTAGAGATGTTATATTGAAAGAATCAGAGTTTCCATTTGCTAAGAAAGATAGAAACAGTTCATTGGATGCATAGGAATATATAGAGGAAGGAACACCGCAATTCTCACCTCTGCACACACAGCCAGGTAGCATCATATACGATAGGAATGTCTCAACCTCAACAGGAGAGGATATGGGTGTGTACGACAATAGACAGAATGATCTGCAGGACAAAAATCTACCAGCCCTACAGGAGATAAATACTGATGATATGTAGGAAGTTCCTCAAAATGTGGAGGAAATGGACATTGTTTATGCAGGTACACAAAGTAACGGACATCAAGAAGGTGCAGAAGCTCCAAATAGTAGGCAGGAAGATGCAGGTGACAAGAACTTAAAACATGACAGAAAATCCACAAGGCAAGTTAAGGAGCCAATATGGATGAAGGATTATGTCACAACAAAGAAGACAACCGGCTGCACCTATCCCATTTCAAACTACCTGACCTATGATCATACTAGTACAAGTTATCAATGCTATTTGGCTAAGTTCTCTCAACTAACAGAACCACAGACATTCAAGGAAGCAGTAAAGGACAACAGGTGGATAAAGGCTATGAAGCAAGAAGTAAAGGCATTGGAAGATAACAACACATGGGAAATAGTGAAAGTTACTAGAAGGTAAGACACTATTGAATCCAAATGGGTGTACAAGATCAAGTTCAAGGCAGATGGAGAAGTGGAAAGATTTAAGATAAGGTTGGCTGTAAAAGGATACAGTCAAAGGGAAGGTTTGGACTATCATGATACTTTCTCACCAGTGGCAAAAATGGTCATTGTGAGATCTCTCATTTCTTTAGCTGCATCAAGAGGTTGGAATCTATTTCAAATGGATGTTTATAATGCATTCTTACAAGGATATCTAAATGAGGAAGTGTACATGGAGTTTCTTGAAGGTTTCTGAAGGGAAGGAGAGCAGAAGGTATGCAAATTGCTCAAATCTCTGTATGGACTTAAGAAGGCCTCACGACAGTGGAATATCAAGCTAACTGTAGCTCTATCGAAAGCAGGTTTTAAGCAAAGTCATCATGACTACTCATTATTTACATTGAGAAGTCAATAGGGAATAGTGATTATTTTGGTGTATGTAGATGATCTCCTTATCACAGGAAGTAGCTCAGTCCTAATCAAGAAAGCTAAAGACATACTACATCAAAGTTTTAAGGTGAAGGATCTAGGAGAACTCAAATACTTTCTAGGCATTGAAGTCATGAGATCTAGGAATGGAGTGTTGCTGAATAAAAGGAAGTATATATTAGGATTAATCTCAAAAATGGGTTTAAGTGCAGCTAAACCTGCAAGTACACCATTTGAAGTGAATTCAAAGTTAACACCAATGGAGTATGATCAAACAAATGGAGTTACAGGAGATCCACCTCTACATTATAATTAATCATCACATAACTAAAATGTAAACCAAACGACCCCTTAACATATACTTTCTGGAGAATTTGTGAAATTCAATCATTTTAAAGTACGAAATTTTTTTTTACCCAAGTCTTCTTTGAGCTCAAACTGGAATTAGTAACTGATCAAAGTACTCTGGTTACCCCAAAGGATAACAAAAGACATTAAGAGTCGCTGAAATTCAGTTCGTTATTTAAAAGACACCAAAGATGCATTCTGAGAAATCAAAATCAAAGGCAAAAGCTGAGAAATTATTCATATATATCCACCATTTATTTATTATTACGATTACAACATAATTTTAAGTCATTATATAATAACATATCGTGAGTACATATTACAGTCGTCACATTTGTCATATTGTGAATGCATATTACGGTCATCACGGTTATCAAATCGTGAGTACATATTACGGTCGTAATAGTTATCATATTGTGAGTGCATATTACGGTCGTCACGTTTATCATATTGTGAATGCATATTACGGTTGTCATGTTTATCACATTGTGAGTACATGTTATGGTCGTTACGTTTATCATAGTGCATATTACGGTCGTCACGTTTATCATATTGTGAGTGCATATTGCAGTCGTCCCAATTGGCGGCCCGAAGGTAAGCATGCAGTAGGTAGTGTATGGGTCAAAATCTGACCACACGTGGATTAGCGTTAAAAGGAATGGTAAGGGGTCAACTAAGCCGTGGTCGTACCCGCAAAGCGTAATAACAACAAGTATCTCGGCCACTGCCGAGATCGAGCCGTCAAAAAGATTGTACGGCAAAGTAAATGTCGTGATACTTGAGAGAGGCGACGTGAAGTACAATCAAGGGATGAAGGCATTCTGGTTAAGGACCGTAGGATAAAAGGGAATACCGATAGTATATATAGGAGGGAAGAAGACAAGAGAAGGGGGGCTTCCTCCTTCAGAGAAAGAGAGAAGAAAGGAAGAAAACCAAGAAAAGGTTTAGATAGTGAATACAAATCTCTGTAATCGTGATTATTGAATCAACAAAGATAGATCTCATCACTGTCGATGGCATTCCATCTTTTCCGTCTTATTACTACATCATGGGATAATATGTCAAGAATGTAAGCCTATTATTTATACTTGATATCTTATATGATCCTAGAAAGTTTATAAGCTCGATTATATCTCATTCTCTTATTCAATGTGCTTAGATCTAGAGTTAATTACCCTTGGCTATGATTTACCCTCTGTTTTCTTCATTAGTTAGTTTAGCAAAAAGCTTAATTTTTTTTCAAATAATTTTGCGCCGTCTGTGGGGATTTCTTAGCCAAAATTGCAGTTTCATCTAGATCTAAAACCAGCCAAAGTATCACTTCCTGGCTATCATAACCTCACCATCCCAGTATAAACACCAACTCGAAAATGTGATAGATGAACTTTTGAGATAACCGAACCGATCTGGGTCAGATCTCAACATGAAATCGAAATTAAGTCCAATGTCTAAGAAAAACCCATGCCTCGCCTGTAGCGACGGGTTCGGATCATCGTGTGAGTAGTCAAAGTGGGATTGTGGTCACTACGCACTTAGCACGCCCGTAATCCTACTTGCTGTATTAACGTTATATGCCGATATATACTTCTGCCTCTTAGGAAGAGACGATAGCCTACTGTATGATTCTTTGAAATAACTGAGTTATCCTGCTTTATTTTTGTATCCGTGCCCACAATTATAATCTATGTACAGGGTATATCACGTTCCCCTTATTATCTGCGCACATCGGACGGGGTCGAACCGGGACTCGAGCTTGAGATCCCAACAGGCAGGGTAAGTTCAGCTCATGAGAAGCCTAGACGCGATTAACGATGAAGCCAAACATGGGGCTGCCAAATCTGAAACCGTTATTCGAGTACAAGATGGAACGGGTCGCCTTACAGCGCTTCCCCCATACGCCGACTTACCAGGTCGAGGTAACAAGCAATTTTGTTTGGATCTGTCATTTTTTCTCTATGTATTCAAACACAAGGAATACAAGCATTCTCATAGGCACGCGAACAAGGAACGAACGCCACCGAATGCACCAAGCAAAACCCTCCACACCAAATCATACTGCAAATAATAGATAAACGGCTCAAAACAAGCTGGTATTATCAAGAAAATCTCCGGCACGTGAAGTACCTCCTACGCAAGTAGAACTTGAACTCAAAAAACTTGCACGCATATTCGCCATGACAATCTTACGCCAATTCAGCCGACTAAATATTGCGAATCACGTCTAAACTTCATTTAGTCCCAAGGTACCAGAAGCCCAAGCAATAAGTTCGTCGCTCGTCCCGATCACGGCCTCTCCAGGTCGAGCAAAGAGAAGATTAGGTAAACTGGGACTCCACCAACACATACACACTGTAATGACGCATAACGTTCTCCGATGAAAGAAAAATTAGACAAATCGGGACTCATCCCGACGCTTAGTACTCTCCAATGAAAACAAAATTAAACAAACCGGGACTCGCTCCAATGCACACAAACAATACAACAATGGGTGATGTTCTCCAATAAAAATAACGCAACAGGAAAACCTGCTCCATCTCCAAACGGGTTACAATTCGACCTCGCTCGAATTAACACCCCTATGGCCATTGGCCATCGCCAAACGGGTTACGATTCGACCTCACTCGAATTAATACCCTTACGGCTATGGGACATCTCCAAACGGGTTACAGTTCGACCTCGCTCGAATTAATACCCCTACAGCCGACGGCCGTCGCCAAACGGGTTACGATTCGACCTCGCTCAAATTAACACCCTTACGGCTATGGTCCATAGCCAAACGGGTTACGATTTGACCTCGCTCGAATTAACACCCCTACGTCCATCGGCCATCACCAAAACGGGTTACGATTCGACCACGCTCGAATTAACACCCCTACGGCCATCGGCCATCGCCAAAACGGGTTACGATTCGACCACGCTCGAATTAATACCCCTACGGATATCGGCCATCGCCAAACGAGTTACGATTCGACCTCGCTCGAACTAATACCCCTACAGCCATCGGCCATCGCCAAAATGGGTTACGATTCGACCTCGCTCGAATTAACACCCTTACAACTATGGGCCATCGTCAAACTTAAGGAAAGTTTGACCTCGCTCGATCATGCAGTTTTACCCAACAAAGGTCGGGATCGATTTCCATAGCGAGTTAATTGATTTGGAGTTAGGTATCTAACTAATATAGACGTGCGTGTTGTTCTAAATTGCACCTCCAAACATGGTCATGATTGATTATACTTCTAATTCTATACTATAATATGCTAGAATAGGCTAAGTAAACTATTTTTTTGTTGGTTGTTTTCAAGGATTAAAAGGGACTAGGGCAGTGACTTCCGCCTAGGTGGATATCTAACGGGTATCGAGAATTCAGGGCAAACTTGTTATGATTGGGGTCGTGACATAACCATCACACATAAGTGATCACTCTATACCTCTCGGTAGTTTGAGTGACTTTGTCCGATTTGGTTCTCTCAAGTCCAAATGGGTGTTCATGCAATACAAATGATATTGACTCAAGTTTGGGTATTACTATCCCTAGGTTTAACCCTTTATTTGGGGCTATCAATCTCTTGAATGCACCCCAATTCCTTGTTAGCCTAATTTTCCTAGACTTAGTCCCTCTTTCTCAAGAAGAGTCTAAGTCATCAAGGCACGAATCAGTGTTTGCAACCACCAATTCTACAATTAAAGCATGAATTAAGCTAAATATCACTAACCCATAAATAATTAAGCCCTAAAATTCAAGACCCATTAAATACCCACACTATGGTTGGGTCACAACCCTAGCTATAGGGTTTAGCTACTCGTAATAACAGTAGAAATAAAAAATAAAGATGAAATATAAGCCATAATATTCAAATAAAAGAAGAAAATTTAATGATTGAAGATAAATCTACTCTAAGATTACTCAAAAAGGTAAAAACTAGCCGTTCACGTGCTCAACAAAACATTCCTTCCCCTAAAAATGTAAAAAAGATCTATTTATACTAGGATAAAATTCCTGAACAAAAATGTCCCTGCGGAGGTTTCGCGGACACGTAATTTCTGACCGCGTCCGCGCTTGAGCTATCGCGGCCGCGTAATAATGATCGCGGTCCACGTTTCTCCATATTTGAATCTGAACTGGGACATGTTTCGCGAACAGTGTAAAATCTATCGCGTCCACGTGAACTTAATTCGCGGCCGCGTAATATGGACGCGGAGCGCGTTCTTCAACAAAACTTAACTTGCAGGGCCTTTGAACCTCGAAGTACGCTCTCAGCAAAAATACCATCACGGCCGCGCCAGCTATACCGCAGCCGCGCTTTTCCATCGCGGTCAGCGGTCACTGTTGTACCCAAAACAGCCTCTCTAAATCTCACTTCCACGAGCCGCGTATTTGTGGCCGCCTCAGTGATGGTCCTTACGCGGCCGCTCTTTTCTGCAGGTGTAAGAGCTCCAGTCCAGCCTTGGATTTGTGCAAGTTTGACTCCTTCATGAGTTGATTATGGCTTCTTTGCCTCATTTTGCACAAACCCTACAAGCAAGCATATTAAGTAAGTTTTCAGGAATACCTTTACGCATTTTCTACCCAAAACCTAAGCAAAAGAGAGCACAAAATAGGTTAAAATCCATAGTTATCAACTCCCCCAAACTTAAGCTTTCCTCAAGCAAACAAAGTAATTCCCACCTCCACAAGAAGAGAAAGGAAAATTTCAGCTGTGCTAAGGTGACTTCATCAAGCATCAATTGGGACTAACAATTACCCTCAACAAAAATGCATTATCAACAACACACAACCTTTTGAGTACCATAGTTCTAGTGCGACACAAGAGCATTAAGAGTTGACTTAAGTCACCAAGGAAGCTCGCTATACTACGTAGGTCGTTGTGGAACCTAAACTCTTTCTCCTCTACTCTCCATAAGCAAATCACACTTAAAAATTGAAGCACTCAAAACAAGGATTGTGAAGAAGTTCACCCATCTTTC